TTCGTTCACCATGTAAGAACTTGTTTGTTATGCTTCAGAAGATTGGAGACTGATGAGAATTAGGCTTGAGATGGATTAATGATTGTGCATTGAGCATTGACCCCCCTATACAGAATTTAATTGTTGTTAACAACCATTTGATCAATAAATATGAGAGATGCCCTCTCAAAAAAAAAATTTGATCTGATTAGGTTCAGCATGCATTGTTTATCCTGCAAGTTAATGAAAATTATGGTTTTCAAGAGCATGTATCATTGTTTTTGTTTTGTATAAAACCCTTATTTCTATTTTTTTATAGAATTGTTTTTTTTTTAAATAGAGCAAGATGGTGTGTGTTTTCCTTTGGGAGGTCGTGTTTTCTACAAAGTGTAACATTTCAAATAGTAAAATACTAATTTGAAAAAATTTAAGTTATTTTCAAATCATAGCCTTACACAGCTAACATGGGTTTCTAAAGTAGATCAGAGCCTTAAAATAAAGATGGTTGATCCACTAAAGGTTTTTATAGTGACAAGCAGCAACATTTCACATGCATCTGGAACCACAGTTATATTCTAATCCCAAATTGCTTATTTTTCAAATAAAGTTGTCTCCAAATTTGATTAGGAGCACAGGCCTCTTGCAAAATGAAAGGGGAAAGTTAAATAAAATAAACGTTAAGAGTGTTGTTTTCACTGAAGTAGAGTTCACACAAAAGCAACACCAGGCAGCTTTTGACAATTATCTTTTAAACAGATGAATGGCATCTGTAAAGCCTGAAGATTTTAAAGTATTTATTACATTAATGCCAAATGTGTTTATAAAAATCCATTGTGAGGTATGCGAGAAATAAATTGAATCTCTCTTTCTCCCAAAATATGTAAGGGTATATGCTAACGTACTGAATTCATCCTTCCCGCGATTCCAGTTTATTAAAGAGGTTAAAAATTTATAAAACCCTGATGGGATGTGGTTTTAATGCTTCATCACACTACCCATCATTTGCTTTCAGTCTAGATCAGAACGATCTTTTCCTCTTCCCTGCAATCGCCTACCTGCACAGCTAATATTTTCTGAATACTCTCCCGAGAGTCTGTCTGGAACCTGGCCAGGCTCATCCGGCTGTAGAGCACCACCAGTCTGAAGTGTTTCTGCCACACCTTGTGTATCCTTTCCTGCAGCTGACAGAGCTAAGGGGAAGAAGGAAGGGAAAAACACAAGTCAGAGTGGGAGAGGAAATTAATGGCGGTGTTCAAGAAGAATGATGGAGGGAATATAGAAAGCAGTCGATAGTCCATTCTGCACTACGGAGACCTGACAGGAATTTCACAGTCCCTTGATTTTTCAGCCCACTCATGTGCACTCGTTAGAAACCAGTCACATCTGGCCGCCAGGATGGGGGGTTAATTTTCTCTAAATGCCTCAGCAGTTCTGTTCTAGCTGAGGCAGACCCCGTGACTGCAAAGCTGATGAGTAAAATATTTCTACTTCACCCAGTTTAACTCAAAACCGATAGCCTCAGGACATATTGAACCTTTCCTAAAAAAAATAATCTTTTGAAGCTTTTTTGAATGGCACATCAGGCCAAGTCAAAGTTTAAAAATGCAACTTTAAGATTTTGATGGACACCACTTTTTCCCCAGGCAGCTGACCATGGTTTGGGCTGTGCTTCAGGGCACAACAAAACTACAGAGAATCACCTCAGCCACCAGCTCCTGGGAGAGCAGCAGCCACAGGGCAGAACCTCCCCTCGAGAGCCCCCCTCCACGCCCTCTGGCTGCGCGGCGGCACATCCCAGGCCCAGTGATGCACCTGCTACGGAACCTGCACGCCAGAAGCGGACCTTCCCCCACGAGGCCTGCTCCGTCTCTTGCAAGTTTAGCTCGAGACTGAGTCTCTAAAGACACAGAAGTTTTATTGAGACAAGGTGCATTTGTCCTTCAACAGTTAATATAGCCGCACCACACAGAACTGCGGCAGTTCGGTTATTTTCAAAGAAATAAACTTCATAAATTAATGGCAAAAATCAGACTAGGAAACTTTACATGTAACAGATACTGTCACTGAAATATCTTGGTTTTTGGCAATGTGGATAATTGCTTATGTTCCTTCAAGTGCACAGCAAGGGCTTGGAGAGCCTGCTGTCCCGTATCCAGTGTGTTTGTGTCCCCAACGGTCCTTTTTGTTTCTCTACCATCTCCTTTCATCCCACCTCACCTTTCCTCAACTCTGAATTTTTTAATTCAACTTTTTTAGTGTACTTTGCAGAATGAAAAAAGTAAACAACCAAAATTTCATTATCAGACATTTTTTTTATAACAGAATAAAACTGTCACAAAAATGGCTATTTTATGTCCTATTTATTGATCTGGGTACTGGTTATACTTAAGGAATCCTTTATAAAACTTCATCAAATAGCAGATGACATTAACTTTTTTGAATGCATTTATCAATAGCATAGCTACTTAAAAAGAGTGATTTTTAAAGTATATGCCCGGTACTGCATGTATATTGTTTATTATCATTATGTTCATTATGCATTGTAATGAGCAACACATAGGTATTTATGTATGTCCACAGAAAAATAAAGTCGCTATTCTTGGTCAATAAGTCAATTTAGGAAAAAAATAACCTTGGAACTATAGATATTTCAACTTGCTGAATGCTGAAATATATTGCCCAGAATTCATTTATGGGCATTTCAGATAATTTAGGATATTGAAGTAAAGATTAACATCATTTTTTGAAGGGAAAATTCATCAAAATTAACATTTTTCTGTAACAGTTTATTACATTTTTAAAAAATATATTTTAATAATTTAAAAATGACATAAAAATATTTTTCCTGCCATCTCTGATAGGCAATGGAGGAAAGTATGCTCTATCTTGATATACTCTGCAAGACATGAGGACACTTTAGTTTACACACATGCCATTCCTCTGGAATCCACATATGAAAAAGGGCAACTAAGAGGAAGGTGAGTTTCAGAGGAATGCCTTAAAGTGAAGGCAAGGGGAGCTTGTCAGCCCAAGCAGAACGAATGGTGATGTTTCCCATGTCCACATGTTCAATGAGAACCAGCTGCATAGTGTAGACATTGTTTTCTGTATTCTAGCTTGCAGTAGCCACAAAGGCCTTAAATTAGTCCATATACAAATGTTAACTGAAGCTACTTAAGTAGAGAAGTTCCTTAAGTATTAACTAAGAAAGAGTAATAAATTAAAAACTGTTTTTTTGAAATCTATAGCTAATAGGCCTCTGGAAAAAGAACCAAGAAAGGGAAAAACTGAAGGAATTATTAAATAGAGGACTCAGCTTTCAGTATGAGGCACATATATACACATATATGCCCACATCACAGACAATAAGATGCTCGACAACAGTATGCAGGAAATAGTACTTAAGATGCTGGGAAAGACAGCTGCTCTAACCTAAGAGTTGGGCATGCTGACCATTATTTTAGGAAAGTGGTTATGATAAAAGCTCAATTATAAAATGTCAGTGGACTCAATAAGTATTAAAATTAGCTCAATAAAGTGAACTGGTAAAATTTTAGTGGCAAAAGTGAAGTAGTGAAAAATATTTTCAGGAATTTACTAATCAGTGGAACAAGAGAAAAGTAAACCAAGTTAATGGAAGGGACCCAAAACACGTAAGAGGAAAATTGAGGGCAGAGAGAACGTTAAGTTGTGAGTGTAAAAGCCCTCCAGGTACATGTAGAACACAGGCTGGAAAACCAAAGAAACTGGAATGATTGTTGTTTCTCCACCTTCAATTAACACAGTGTTTCTGGAATGAAACACTCCAGTGATCACACTCCTGAAAAGACAATCATTTATCCATGAAATGATTATATTCCTTCCCTCTCATTCAGAGTTGAGGAAAGATGAGGTGGGATGAAAGGAGATGGTAGAGAAACAAAAAGGACCGTTGGGGACACAAACACACTGGATACGGGACAGCAGGCTCTCCAAGCCCTTGCTGTTACTTGAAGGAAGAATGGAATTTAGAGCAGTGGACAGATCAGCTGGGCTGCTGCTTAGCCCTAACGAAATGTTAGAAGAATTCAGAAGAGAACAAATATATGCTTGGTGGAAAATCAACGAGAAGCACATTAGAACAGGGAGAGTCATTTTGGAAAAAGATCCTTAACTCCATTGCCTTCAGTTTTGTATACGAGAAAGGAAGTGAGGATATTGAACAGTATCAGGGAAGCTGAATCAGAGGGCAGCGGGCTCAAGCCCTGAGCTGCTTTCAGTGGCGAGAAGGGTGGAGAGTCTCCTGGCCGTGGTGCCTGGCCACTCTGGACCTGCAGTGCGTCTGGCGAGCTTGGCTTGTCCTTGTTCTGTGAGCTCTTTGCTGAGGGAAGCACAGATATGGGAGTCACGGACACTTCTTTGGGAATAATGATCATTATGTACCTATTCACGCAGAGAACAATCAGTCAATGCCCATCTGACAAGGCATATTCAGATACAGAGGGCTGGCCATCCCTGTCAGTGCAATCCTTGCACACAGTGGGCACTGAATGCGGCACGCATTTGGTAAAAATACCTTCTGATTAAGTTTCATTAGGCTCCTACAACATTCACTAACATTTCAAAGCTTAATACTGACAGTAAAACAGAGTAAATTCATGTTGTCACTTTGAAGGATGAAAGGTTGTTTTCCAATTTTAATATACTAAATAATATGGATTCTGTTTTTAACCCAAGTTATTTTGATCACCTGTATAAATGATGACAGCTGCTCACACTTATATATCACACAAACCCTGGCCTTCATACTAAATAATAGGATTTACATATTACAAAATACAAAATCTCTAATCATACGGTTTAGATTTATACTATTTATTGCTTCTATGCATGATAAAAATTATCCTAAGAATAAAATAACACTACTTGATATTCCAATGACAGCTTTCAAACACATTAGCACTGGCTGTAACTAAATTAGTACCAAAATATTGTCTTACACCATTCCCGTGTTTTTAGCTCTGAAATTAGACATTTCAAAGCATCACCTTTTCATGTATTTTCCAAGGCCAGACTGGAGAATACGATTGTCTGGTGTGAATCATGGAAGATGCAAAGACAAAGTCTTGCTAGGCCTAGCTCAAAGGGGAAAACTGTGACCCGCTGTGAAGTGGGGTGAAATTGAGTTAAAGTTTGTTATCTGTCAGATAAGAAAGTGTTGATAGGTGTGATTTAAAAAATATGCCCTCAAATTATCTGATGATCCTTCATTTAAGAAATGAAGCCGAAAACCCTTCCCTTGAGTATAGGCTGGACTTAGTGACTCCCTTCCAAGCAACACACATGGAGGAAGACTGTGTGCCACTTCCAGGACACACACACACACACATGCAGTCACACACACACTACATACAGACACACAGACACAGTCACACACACATGCAGTCACACACACACTACATACAGGCACACACAGACACACACACACACACACCACACACACAGCTGCGGCTTCTGACTCGGGTTTGCTCTCTCTGGTTCTCTCAGATCACCGGATCTGGGGGAAGCCAGCCCCACGTTGTGAGAGCAGCTCTGTGGAAAGATCCCAGGGGGAGGAGCTGAAGCATCTGCTCCCAAGCATCTGAGAGGTCCTGGAAGCAGATTCTCTAGCATCGCCAGATGACTGACACCCCGACGACCTGCCTGCAGCTCTGTGAGAGTCACTGAGGTAGAATCACCAGTGAAAAGCTCCTCAGGAAGTTTAGATGAAAACAAATGTTTATTGGTTTAGGCTGCTAAATTTTAAGACAGTTTGTTGCAGCAATAGTTAACAATAAGTTCTTAACTCTTCTCAGTTTACCTAGCAAGGGAATAATTTACCATCCATACTTTCTGAATGGAAAGTAAAAGTGTCCTACTTTACTGTTTGGTTTAAGACTGAAACTGAAATGATTTGTTAGTAATAAGAGATGATTAATAAGTAGTTATTAATTATGCAGTATAGTTTGTTCCATCTAGGAGCTTGTTATTTTAATTGAAGACAGTCCAAAGGTACTATAATTTAGTAGTTCTAGAAATTTTAAAATGGTTCATTATCAACAAATATTTTCATGAAATACATCAATATGTTAAATAAACCATCCCTAAAAGTTGGTATGAATCAACACTGAACAAAAACAATGGACAATGGAAAACTTACTTGACAAACTAG